TATATATATATATATATATATATATATATATTAGATATTTTGTAATAAACTTTTTCCTTTGGGATTATTAGTATATTATATTAAAAGTATTAACTGGATTGCTGCAAAATTAATCATATTTGGATGTATGAACGTGTGAATGTACCTTGTGATTTTAGTATAGTCTTGTTGCTGATTTGGATTCAATTGTTATTAATTAGTTGAATTCTTTTTTATAAAATTTTAGATAAAAACTCTCAAGAAAAGAAAATAAGAAAAAAATGTCTTCCTCGCAAATAGAAATCAACTTATATATAGACTTATTTGGCGAGTTAATATATCAAGAGAAGTTTTGTAAAATTATAAACTAATGTATAGACTCATCCAAAAACTGACATATAATAAATTTCTATTAATTTAATGAGTTAAGTGTAGAATCTTTCAATTAATTTCTTAAAACTATTAATTGTATTTCTTTTTTTCCTTATTACTGCAGGTTGGGGCAATTGCTTTTGTTGCTTTAACAGGACTGCTAGTATTGGAGCAGTTGCAGGTTGCTGCTTTGACAACTATTGACATGGTGATAGCTTCTTGGCCTATAACATTTCACACTATGGGAAACTGAGCAATGGGCTAGACATCTTGTTTTGAAAAGAATAGCACAATATATATCTAGTTGACATCTTTCTCTATCCACAAAAGATATTGTAGTTGTTGTAAACATCTTTCTCTGCCTTTAGACTTAGATATTTTACCATTCTAGACATATTTTATTTTTTCATTCAAGTATAGGATCCTTATATATTTTCTTGTACAATTTTTTTACTTTAGCATTGTCTATTCTTGGATAAAGAAACCTTTGCTTGAAACCTGTCTTATTTTTTATAAATGTTGAAAGGTTTTAGTGAATAAATCTTCTATTAAATAGTTGTAAATGTTTCATCTATTAGATGGTTTTAGGCAAGTTGACTGTTATGTTGACTTTTATCAACTATTGAAACTCGTAAGTATTAAATGTAGATGTGGAATCACTTATTTTTTTTTTTATAAAATCATAAATTACATACGGATTTTTCCATATGTAAGTACATGGATTTTTTCTATGTAATTATATACAGATTTTACATACGGATTTTTCCGTATATAATTACATACGGATTTTTCCGTATGTAATTATATACGGATATATCCGTATGTAATTATATACGGATATATCCGTATATAATTTATCTACACCTCTTTTATATACGGATTTTGGTCCGTATGTAATCCGTATGTAACATCAATTTATATACGGATTTTAGATGTTATATACGGATTTTGGCTGTATGTAACTGTGATTTTTCTTGTAGTGCACGTTGGTAAGGTATGTTCATCGGTCCCACAAAATATAGACTGAAAGAATTATCAATTTGAACTTTATTTAAATAAGTTTTGAAAAATAAGAACACCCGTTTGCATTAATAATTGGAATAAAATAGAAAAAAATATTAAAAGCATATTATAGAAACACAACAATATATGTGAAACATTATCTGTCCAATCTGAAACAGGGTAGTAGAAAGATGGATTAAGCAATGGGGATACGACGTTTTAGTGCTTGGGAAGGCACTCAAGAATAAGTCNGAACTGAAGGAGTGCGAACGACTTCCAGAAAAGACAAGCAAGCAACACATCAAAGAACCAGCGAGCGACATAGACATCCGAAAGTAAGGAAGACACCACTACAAGAAAAACATCATTTACATACGGATTATTATATACAGATTCTAATCAGTAGATAAAAATTTTATTATATACGGATTTTATATACGGATAAGTTACATACAGATATTATATACGGATATTAAAATAAATAATAAAAAAATTAAAAAAATAATTAACCTAAGACATAAGCTCACAGCTTCTTCATTCGTGCATTTTCAGCCACACGTATTTCACCTCTCCTTCAACCACATTTCATTTTGATTCACTGCCTCCCGTCTTCACCATTTTCTCTCGAGAGCCTCTGAACCATCCACATTTTCTTCACAGATCCACAGGTTTGTTCATCACATAATCACTTCATCCTCTTAAATCTCCATGTCTTCCTTCTATTTTCACTTTCATATACATAACCACCTCCGAATCCTAGGGTTTCGTCCTCCTCTTCACTTTTCCTTCATTTTTAACCGATTAAAACCACTTTTCTACAGATTAAAACCCTTTCTACCGTTTGTTCTTCGATTTCCACCGATTGAACCTCCATTTGCGTCGTTTAAACACTTTTGTATCGATCAATCTTGCGTTTGAACCGATTAATCGGTTCATATTGAGTTTCTCCCCATTTTTAGGGTTCCTTCGGTCCATATTAGGGTTCGTCCTCCATTTTAGAGTTTTCCCCCAATCTTTCTGGCTTTTATTCGTTCGTTTAGGGTTTTCTAACATTTTCTTCCGTTCATTCTCTGTTTTGTTCTCGATCTCAAGTTCGTCTCATTATTCCGCTGCGTTTGTTCATGAAGGAAGCTTCGAAGGAGCTCGAGTCCGCGTCGCTCTTTTGGTCTCCTTGGAGGGTCTTCCATCAAGTGGTATTCAGAGCAAGGTAGAGCACGCTACAAGAGATAAGTATTGCTTTCCTTGTTTGAAATGTAATATATTGTATCAAATGGATGCTCTCTGTTCTCTAATAGTATCTTTCCTCACTTCTTTCATTCATAACATTTTTGTCTCGTATACTACTAACTCATTCTACTTGAATTAAAGTTTCCATTTAATGTCAGCTATAAGTAACTTAGTTTACATTTGCATTTTTCCTTTAGTAACTTATAGGTTTAAGTTTAACTCTACAAAATAGGTTTCGTCTTTCATGCCTTTTAATAATGGCTTTTCTGTTTGATGACTTTGTTACTAACCCTGTTCTGAATGTGTGATTTGGGTAGTTGATCAGGATCTATCAGTGTGTGATTTTTAAAATTATCTATTAACTATGGGACACAGATTTTGGCCTTTCATTTTATGTATTTTAAATTATTTTGGCTGCTAGATTTATTCTGAACATGAGGTTTTTGGCAGTTCTATCAAGATATATCGAAGCCAACAAAAGCTCAAGAATGTCTAAGTCAGATGTTGCAAATTGATGGAAGGTAATTGTTGTTAATGAAATGGTATCATTAGCATCACAGGCATTTTAGCTGGTAATTGGTTTATAAAGTTTGAAGTACTTTATGCCTGTTTGCTCTTTATCCGCAGCTGATTACTTGTGTTGTATGTTAGGTTTTCCAGAGCTCATAATTTGCGTGGCCTTTTGTTCCATGCAATGGGACAACATAGGTATGTAAACAACCTTAACTGCTGTTTAATTGGAGATTGACTATTTAATTGAGATAAATGTACCTTGCAAGCCTTCAATAGTATTTATGATTGGGGCCGTGAATTAAAGTAACACACTTTGAGATATAGTGGCACACCTATAGGTAGTTATTGAAGAAAATATGGTGGTAGAAGTTGGAAATATGATGAAATCTGATAGGAAGAACTAAACTACTCAAAAATACATAAAATCTTTAGCTAAAAGACACTAAAAGATAACATTGTCACCATACTGATTCACATTTGTCACTCAGAAACTTCATTTATGATCTCAGGTCAAGGATTATGATGCTGCTCTGGATTTGGAATTGGACTCAATGGATAAGTTTGTGCTTCAGTGCCTTGCCTTCTACCAGGTTTGTATACTGTAAAATATTATATTTGTACAACTTCTGTTTTTCCCCTTAATTCTATTTTATTCATCTCTCAGAATTCTGCATAAACTATTGTTGTTTCACAATAAAAATGTGCTGAAAACTGTTGCTATTTTGATTCAAATGCTGCAGAAAATTATTTGCTGTTTGGGTATAAAAATGCTGCTGAAAATTCTTTGCTGTTTTGATAAAAATGTTGCAGGAAATTATTTGCTGTTTTGATATAAAAATCCTGCAAAAAATTGTTTGTTGTTTTGATTCAAATGCTACAGAAATATTTTATTGTATTAGTTGGTTAAAAACTTGTTTAATATATATTTATTGTATGGGATGTTAGTCATGATTGATATATTGTTATATATATATATATATATATATATATATATATAT